GGTTTCTGATAGTAGAGGCCATCGACTATAGCGTTTCAAGTATTTCGTGCTTGAATCAAGTATTTTCAGTATCAAAACTGTGCCAAGCATCGAAAATTACGACATTGAGACCGTGTATTTTATGCAATTTTTATACCAAGCACTTTCCGAAAAAAGGGTAGGAATTTTAAGAGTGGATTGTTATTAAATCCAAATTGTGACTTTTCCAGTACGAGCGGCCCTAAAATGTTAAGTATGAAATCGTTCTTAAGCCAAGACTGATTGTACTCGATTTTAGCGTGCTGTTTTTTCCTGAGTGTATAAGTTCTGGATTTAACGCAGCTTAATAAAGGAGATCAGCATACGTTAATTCATCAAGATCATGATCATAGAAATAACAAATAAAAGGTAGAAAAGAAATTGGTCCTGCCTACGTACACTGATAAAAAAAACGTAGTAAATCTAAATATTTCATATTCAACCCAAATATTTTTCGCTTCGATTTTCATCCATTGCGGTTTTTATTAACCTTAAATATGCGCATATTAACTTTTCTTCCATATTAAATTTTAATATTTTCGGAATAGATTTTAGTGTTTTAAATATTTAAGCTAAATATATGACATATTTAAATTAAATACAATGCATATTTATATTAAATAAAATGACTATTTGATTTTAAATTTTAAAAATTTGAATTAAATAGTACACGTGTTTAATTTAAACAGTAACCATATTAATGGTAATGTTAAAATTCAATATAAGTCATATTAAGATTCAATACTAGACATATTTATTCGAAATATGCCAATTCTAATATTAAATATGATATATATTCAAATATTTTTTGTACAATAATAAAAATTAGTACTCAAATTTTATTTTGTTTTTTCGATTTTATTTAAACATTTATTGCTCATAATGGCTTGCTGGAAGGTACAAATAATACAGTTACACTTATGTATATTCATTTTACAGATATCTGTATACAACATATTTTTTAGCACTTACATCATACATGTACATTGGATGGTTTTAAAATTCTTCAATGTTTTTAAGAACTAATACATTTTTAATTACTCCTCATTCATATGCCAGCATATGGTTGCAGAATGTTTTAACTTCTATAGCATTACAGGCTACATACACAGTTGTCAATTCTTAAACGAAAGAAAGTACTTTAAACATTCTTAGAGTATTACCAATCTTAATAGCTAAACAAAAATTTGTTTTGTAAGTTATCTGTGAAATAAATAGTAAGATAAAAAAGAAAATTATAGATTTCATTTTAAAGAGTCAATCAAAATATTAAATTACCAATCTGCTTTGGTTAAAGATTTGAATCTGAAAAAAAAAACAACAAAAGAGCACAATGAATAATTAAAAAGACAAAATCTGAATGTAGTCTCACTAAAATTATAAATTACCAATTCCGACGCCCGCGAATCAGCATATTTTGGCCATGCTTTCAAAAACTTAGCTCCATGGGTTTTATTTCATTTTTCGATGACGAGATTCCAGTCTGAGATCTCCCTCGTTAATTTCGTTTTGTCAACGAAGTACAAATTTCGTCGAAATCTAGCAGTTTCCACTTTTTGTTTGGATCTCAACAGGAACCTCCAAGATTTTATCCAGTTTTATACGCTTCGTTCTGGAATTTGTATATTTGCGAGAAAAGAAATAGAAAAAAGTTATTATTTATTATAAAACCTACTTTGCCGTATTCTTACCTATAACTTTGCCAGGAACGGTAAACGCACGCAAATGTACATGTGTGTGTTCGCTAGGGCACGCTGAACTTTGTTGGCGACCAAGCAACGGTAATCGCACGCTGTGACATATGTATGTGTGTGTAGCTGCACTTGAATGTATGTACATACGTATGTGAGAACCGAAAATTTTAGTCCACTATTAATTAATACAAACTTCACTTTAGTTAGATTTCTTTTTATCCACTACGTGCATACGTATGTATATGTATGCGTGTGAGGGCGCGAGCTAATTTGTTGGATTCTACGAAAACAAAGTACGGGTGAATAATTTTTTTTTAACAAAGCTCCGACACGTCCTTCTTTTTTGGCTGCAATTATAATATGGCAAGCGGCGTGCTGTGTTGAAGAAGCGGAATCATATGTATGTACATACAGCTGTGTTCATTGAAATAGCAGTGCTTATGACCTACACGTTCACATTTGAAAAATACTATTATAAACACAACTTTGAGACCAACTTTAGTTATAACAGCTTAATCTATTTATTTTTAAATAATTTAACAACTTGTTCATCTTAGGTACTTCAATATTAAAGAAAATATGGATAATAACAAACAAAAAGGACTGCTTTATGGTGTTCATTGAAATAGCAGTGCTAAAAGAAAAATATGATAAAATTCAATGTAGCTTATAAATAACTTAATTCTACTAAATAACGATTTGATTACGATCTAATATTTTGTTGAATAGCCTTTATTGGCTATAAGAGCCTCACACCCACGTGGCATGGAGTCCACTAAGTCCTCGCAACGTTTGCGGGGAATCTGGCCCCATCCCTCCTGCACAACTTGCCAAAGCTACGGCTTAGAAGTCGGGGATTTTTTCGACACATATCGCTTAAAGTCCCCCCACAGGTTTTCGATCGGATTTAAATCAGGGGACTGTGCTGGCCATGGCATTACGTCTATTTGGTTTTGGCTAAACCACTCCTTGGCCAATTTGCTGGTATGTTTTGGATCATTGTCCTGCTGAAATGTCCAAATTAGGGGCATTTCATCCTCAGCATAAGGCATCATAACGTTTCTCAATATATTCACATACACCTGTTGGTCCATGATACCATCGACCATATATATGGGGCCCACACCGCTGTATGAGAAACATGCCCATACCATGATTTTAACGGTCTTAAGCGTATAGTTTGGGTGGTACTCGGTGTTTGGTGGTCGACGAACGCACTGTCTTGAGCCTGTTCCAGCAAATAACACCAGCTTGGACTCATCTGTCCAAAGGATATTACGCCAGTTGGATAGTGGCCACTTCAAGTGGCGTTTGGCAAACTCCATCCTGGCTTTGAGATGTCTTTTACCAAGTAATGCCACCTTTCGCGGGCTTCGCGCATTTAAATTTTAGTCCAACAGTCTTCGGCGAATAGTCACATCACTGATTCCCAAACTCAGGTTCGCTTTTATATCCCTAGAGGATGCAAAAGGATTAGTTTTGCTGAAGCGCACTATGCGTCGGTCCTCTACAATTGTGGTTTTGGGTGTCGCGCCTTGTTTTTCGGGCTTCCATTCATATTTTATAGTATTGGAAATCATCTTGGCAGAACATTTTAAGAGTCTCTGAATTTCTTGATATGTTTTACCCATCTCTCTAAGCTTAATGATTTTTTCTCTTTCTCCCTTGGAACAATGAGGTCCTCTTCCCACTAAAATAATATTTTTCCATAGTTATTGTGTATTGTCGTATTATTTGTAATAATGATCTTAATTAAACTCACTTTTCACCAAATTACAAAAGTTTTCAGCACTTTTCGTGGGAGAAAATCAAACACTGTGCAAAAATATGAAAATAACCCAAAAACTAACCAGATCTAACGGGACTTTACTTGTTTCTTTTACAAAAAAATGTACTAGCGATCAACTAACAAAAAGGCCTATGCTAATAAACCGTTATATAGTTTCGCTTCTGTCGCACTGCTATTTTAATGAACACAGCTGTATGTACATATGTATGGCCGAGTACAGTTCCAAGAAAAAGACAAGCCGCGAGATACATACATATGTCCTTTTTGGCTTTGAATGTTGCTGCCCACATACACACTTATTTATTTAAAGAAACTTCACATCGATTTTTTGATAGCGCGATCAATTGTCCTTTTTGGCTTCTATAGTTGCTGCCCACACATTGAATTTTATATTTACATATGTATATGCCAACTTCACTTTTATAAAGGCTCGACACGTCCAACTTCTTCGGCTGCAACTTATGCTAAGGGTTTCATGATTTCTTGAAAGCGCGAAATAAAATTTGCTCCTGTTTATGCGACGCGGCCGAATTCATGCATTTTATCAATCTCAGCTGGCAGAGATGCCGGACCGGTGGAAAAAGGTGTGAGCGATAATAAAGCCGAAAATTTTTTTCGATTCGCGTGAAATAATCTTGCTAATATTAAAGATAAAGGGTGTGCAAGCCAGTATAAAATTTTTTTGTTTACCATCAAAATAAAAGATAAAAACTAGTTTCTATTAGCACTGAATAAAAAAATAATTTGTTAAAAGTAAGGTGTATTTATGTATTTATATTGATCTGGCAACTCCGATAGTTATATAGAGTTACCGGAGTTTGATTGAGACCATTTCACGCCTTCAGGTTGAATTCATAGTAAACTTTCGTGTGTTGCCGAATTCACGAAATGGCGTTTATGCACACACGGATCGGCTGAAAACGCGAAATGAAAGCGTGAATTCTGCATCGCATAAACACAGTAAATGACACGCGTCGTTTAGTGCTCAAGAAGAAGAGTCGTTGATCATAGAAAACGCGAAAGAATGAATGTGTGTAGCATAGAACAAAAGAAAACCGCCAAAAATTATCTTCGTTTGTTTTCTGCCCATTTACATTTGTACGAATGTCAATTTACTTTAATGTACATATATCAATTTGTTTTTAAAAATGTAAAATGTTTGGTCTGAACAGATGTATATACATGAGCATACAGTTTATGAAATAAATCTTGTTGTAAATAAAGTCAGCTTAAAATTAAAATATTTGTTTTAAATATTATTGTACTTAAAAACGGACAGGGCAGTAGCTAATATTTAAATATAAAACATATTTAAATGTGACAATACAAATAAAAAACATTTTTAATAATTAATTTGTACGTAAATATAAAAATATCTTCTTGAGGTGCTTTTTTTTGATATATACTATGTTTATGCTATGGGAATCGCGATTTCTTGAAAATATAGAAATAACCCCTGTTTATGCGACACATATCATTTCGTGATTTGATTTCAGTAGAGATGCCAGACGTGAAAAAGTAGGTATTTTAGTCTGGTCACACTTGCATAAAAAGTAAACAAACCAAACAACGCGATGGATAAAGTTAAATTTTTGATTTACAATCGGCAAATAAGAACCGGAAATTTAATTTCCAAAGTCGCTGAGTGGAGGCACAGAAGATCGATGGCTTTATTAAAAGCGAGGCGGTTTTTGGTGGCCAGGAGTCACAGGATGCTGATGCAGGTTTACCCGGCTGCAACCGCGACTCTCAGCCTGAGGACATCCAGAGTGCGAAGATTTAGGAGCAGGCCAAGAAGCAATGCATTTTGGTTACTTATGCAAGAGCCAAAAAATGAAAATTTGTTTTTTGAAAACTTAAGGATGTCCAAGAGTTCATTTTTCGAACTGTGCGAATTGCTACGTCCCCACATACCGGTGCAGAGCATGTTTCTAACCGTTCCAGTTCCCTTGGAGAAACAAGTTGCGATCTGCGTATATAAACTGGCGACCTGTGCCGAGTATCGAGTGATTGGGGATGTATTTGGAGTACATAAAAGTACTGTGCACAAGTACTTTCATATTGTGGTTAAGGCAATATTGAAACTTACGAGTGAATTAATTTCATTCCCAAAACTGGATGAATGCATTCAAAATGCAAGTGCATTTCAAAAAATGTGTCACATTCCTAACGTGATTGGAGCTATTGACGGTAAAATGCCTTTTAGAGTATTAATTACAAATTATAAACGCTATGTATCAATTATTTAGGAACACACATTCCTGTTAAAGCCCCAAAAATTGGGTACATGGATTTCGTCAATCGAAAGGGATGGACATCGATGGTCATGCAAGCTGTAGTTGACAACAATTACTTGTATGTAAAAACATATTTAGATATTGGTTGTTTTTCCAAATATTATATATTTTTAGGTTTAGAGACGTCAGCATGAAATTTCCAGGAAGTGTCCACGACGCCACGGTCTTTAAAGAATCGGGATTTTTAAAGAACCATAGCCGAATTATTCCGGAATTTTTAAAACTGGTGGGCAACAAGGAGATTCACTTCATTATCCTGGGAGATCCGGCATACCCATTGCTACCGTGGCTTTTAAAACCATATACCGGACACTTAACTCCACAGGAAGAGTCGTTTAACTGCTACCTTAGCACGGGCAGAATTGTTGTAGAAAATGCCTTTGGTCGATTAAAAGGACGCTGGAGGTGCCTGGCCAAAAGAATAGATATTAATTATAAATTTGTGCCATATGTTGCTTTGGCTTGCGCGACACTTCATAACTTCGTCGAAATAAGAAAGGAGAAGTTTACGCCAATCAACGAGTATGAATGTAACCAGCAACCACCGGACTGGCATTGTAACCAAGTACTGGAATCTTCTGAATGCGATCCATCTGACCTTAGGGAACACCTTAAGGAATACATTGTTTCTAACTTTCCTTTGCGAAGCAGTTCAAAATAAATGAAAATTGCACAATTACTTTTGTTTCGAAATACTTCAGCTTTAATTGGATTTGAAGAATTCTAGCATGAATCTTTGGGTCTCGGCCCAATCCTCCGCAAGAACATCGCGCATGCTCTGCACAAAGGTGGCGTCGATTTCCCGTTGAGCCTCAAGGAACTCCTGGTTCTGCACCTCCAGCCTGTCCAACGCCTCCTTGTTGTCGTCTGACATCTTCTGTACCATCTGCACGACGTTTGCCTTGTCTAAAAATCAAATGAAATCATTGAAAATTACCATCGTGCTACCGTTAATGAGAATTAATATGCTTACTTGAAGTTCGGCGGCTCCTAGGCATAGATGTCTCTACCAGGAGTTCAGGTGCATCAACAGTAGAACTGGATTCATCAATCCCCTCTGTTTCGGTGAAGACTTCATTGGCCAGGTCATCGAAGCCATCGATTGCCACAAATCCCTCCTCCGATGTGTCCACACCTACAGCCTGAGACACCGGGCGAGTCCCGTACATCTCCTCGAGCTCCTCGAAGTGGGTGCACGTTTTCCTGGCAGCCCCACTGACTGCATGGCTGCGCTTTACTTCAAAATATGATTTTTTTAACTGTCGCAGCTTGGTTTTGATTTGGTCTCCGGATTTGATCATATTTTTAGCCTTCATCGATTCTGCGAGGCCCCTGTAAACTAGGTTGTTTCGCTTGCTCTTCCCATCGAGCTTGCTCAAGATATTGTTTTCCTTCATCAGGCCAAGCAGCTCGGTTACCTCAGCGTCTGACCAAAACGATCTTTTCGATTCCATGGCTATTTCGATAATTATTCCCTTTTCTTTGTTTAATTTGCGTTTTAATTTCAACTTTTATGCACGGCGTTGCCACCTGATTTGTACAGCGTTAAGTTGGTTGCGCATCACGAATTCACGCTTTGAGGCTGAAATCATAGTCAACTTTCGTGTGTTGCCGAAATCACGAAATGGCGTTTATGCACACACGAATCGGCCGAAATCGCGAAATGAAAGCGTGAATTCGGCATCGCATAAACACAGTAATAAACATTGAAAAACCCTTTCAAATTGACACTTTCAATATTATTGCCACAAACATTTTTATTTTAAATATTAAAAACTTTAAAATAAAATAATTTGAGTACTCAAAATTAATATTAAACAATTTTAATTTAAATACGGATTTTTTAATTCTGAATATATTAACGATTAATATAATATTTTTTAAATTAAATATAAACAAATTTGAATTAAAAATGCTCTTTTTTGATTTAAATATTTTAGTATTAAACTATGCAATTTAATTTGTTTCTTATTTAATACAATGTTTTTTGTTTTAAATTTAAATACGAAATATGATATTTTGGATTCAATATGCGGATATTTAAATGTACTATTCCATTTTTTTATCAGTGTATCTAACAAGGACCTGAAACTAAATATCGCCCCACACACGGAGTAGTACAATGATATACAGTAGGTGTCCCTGAGAAATCACCATTCCAAAGAGGTGGAAGGTGCAAATGCTTCTTCTATTTTCAATCAGCGGACTTTACCCCTGTATGCCGACCGGACTGGGAAAGGATAATGGAGGCGCTAGAATTCTTTGGAGTCCCACCTATCTATGAAAAATCGTGACAGCCGACGTTCCGCTAGGATATGTACTTGGACCTCTGCTGTGAAAAGTAATGTAAAATGAACCCAAGCAATCGGGAAGGACTTCCATAAAACAGACAAAACAGGAAAAGAAGCTATTCGCGTGGTACTGCGATGGCTTTCAGGGGCCGGCCTAGATTTGGCTGCTCACAAAGCGAAAGCAGTGCTCATTAGTAGCCATTTTGCCTGTCGAAACCGCACGCAGTGATCGGAGGGAACATAATCTCGTCGCAGAGAGCGATAAAATTCCTCGAACCGTGGGACAACCTCGTCTCATTTTCAGGGAGCATTTGAAATACTCCAATAAGGCAATGGCCTTAGCAAGGATCTTGGCCAACAAGAGAGGTACCTTACAAAAAGGAGGAAACTTCTCACCAACGTACTTACATCCCAGTCTGGGAGAAATCGATGAACGTGTGCAGCTACTCAACCGGCTGGGCGCAACAAGGACTTCCTGTACATCTCAAATCATCTCGAATGAGGCTATGCTCATCATCGCAGGCGTGGTCCCGCTGAAGAAACTTGGGCGGGGTGCGGCACTGGAGTAATAGAAGACACGAACCATCTTTTGGAAGAATAGGCGGGTACCGGACCATCAGTAGACAACCTGACCGACCTGATGGTTAAATCAGAAATGTTATGGAACCAATGTGCGGAGTTTTCGTTCGATATTATAAGAGACCTGAGAGCAGAGGAACGAACTAGGCAACGAACGGTGGTATGAAGGCTTGCAATGAATTGGATTGATATGTTTTAAAACTCGGTCTTCAACTCAAAATGTTTTAATAAGCTAAACATTTTCAACATTTCATTGCAATCATGTGTTTTATACCCGGTACTCGTAGAGTAGATCTCGGAAAATATAAGAATTAGAATGTTGTATGTGAAAGTATGCGCAAGTTTGTATCATCGAAACAAACACCCAAACACCCATAACGCTAAAATCTCTCTAGCGCCTACATTTTGAAGATAATGTAAATGTGTAAATTGAAATGAATCATCATATCCATCTAAATGTTAAGAATCGTAACAATGGCATTGTTATTTAATAGCCAAATTAAGTTAAACAGGCTTTGACATGGACAGTAGTACCGCTACCGTTCGCTAGGTGCCGTGGCTTTGACATCGAAGCAAACAACTATATAACCTTTCTTCATGTTTTGGTTTTCTTTCTAAGGGTTTTCACTGGGAAGAGTACACAGAGAAAACTATCTAAGAACATTGTTCTTGAACTGAGCACATTGTTCTTGAATTGAGAACATTCGTTCTTAAATACCGTGTAAGTACATTTTGGTATCAATATAAGAACGAAATGGTGAGAAGAGAAAAGTTAAATTGAGTTTATTTAACAATTTTTTGATAAATATACACTAAGGACTGAACTAATAGTTTATTTGTACATACAATTTACTTAAATACCGCCAACTCAACTTGATTGGAGCAAAATAAAAACATTTTGAACTTAAAAATGTCGTTCTATTTTTAAGAACATTTTCAACTCAGATTAGAACGTCAGAATTTTCTCTGTGTAGGAGGTCTTAATGATCTACATTACGACCAGCCCAGCGGTTGATCACCGCGCCCATGATGGATATAATGACACGCATGAAGAAGCGAGAACAGTTAGTCAGCAAGAAAATAAACGAACCTTAACCACTGCACATAGGATTGGCTATTCTTAGGAAGCTATATTATGTTATATGTTATTATGTTATTAGGAAGTTATATTATATAACTTATATACTTAATCAATGCAGATAGTTCAGTAAATATACAAAAATGTACTTAACTATTTAAAAAGGTTGCATATGTATTGCAAAAGTAAATAGTTGATTAACTATGGTCAGGAGAAAACAAACAACACTGTCTTGTGTGCACGCTGGAAGTCAAAAGTGCTTTAACACGGCCATTTGCATTCTCATTTTAAATGCTCTCACGAAGGGTACAGCAAAAACATCGATTGGTAAAATCGTCCAACATAATAGTAAAACGGTCCCCAACCATAGAATAAACAATTTTACCCATTAAATAGTTATTCTTACGTAATTCGTTAACGTTTAGTAAGGGTTACTATAAGAAATAGTTATGTAACTATAATAGGGTACCATGGACCCAACCCATGGATTGTAGTTAAAAAACTATTTTTATTGTTATCCAGCACATTAAATATAGTTAGTTAATTTTGTATGGTAATTTATAAGCAAAATTAAAGAAGGTAATTTTCAAATTGCCCTTTTTATGAGTGACTTCCAGCTGGTGTGGAAGTGTGTTGAAGACTTTAAAGAATATATGCTTTAAGTGAAGTCTAAACATAAAGTTTGGCTAAGAAATTATAAACAACCCATTGCACTATGGTGAATTTGACTACTTTTTGGTGTAAGTAAGTGAAATTATGTAAAATAATTTTAAAAAAATTATAATTATAAAAAAATTATATCAGACAAAAATGCGAGAAATATACAGTATTAGGTACAGGTCTTGAAAGACAAATTTAACTGAGCCTAATGAGAATTAAATACACTAAAGCTTAAAAAGGTTTTAGAGGTGGAAACAGCTGGAATCACTTTGTAGCTCTATTTTAAAGTTAACAACATATAATATTGTTTTTTTTAAGGTTAGAGCTTACACACGAATATACGAGCATCACAACCAATAAATACAATATTAAGGTCACAAGCCCAAGTTACAAGCTCCTCTGATTGGATTGTATTTCAAAAACTTCAGTGTTTTGTTTAGTTTTACACTTTTTGACAATTTAAACTATTAATAATAATTGACGATTTACCAGCTCGTTGAAATAAAAACAGGCTTTCACAGCCGATAACTGAACGGTGGTGCGTACTGCTAAGCTTTTCTGTAAGTAACATATAGATTGATGTTATCCTAATACATTCTGCTAGACAAAACATATTTTTAACGTCTTTTAAAAAATGGGTTTTTGGCCAAAAAAAAGTGGTTAAATACCCCATAAAGTATATATATTCTTGATCAGGATCACTAGCCGAGTCGATCTAGCCATGTCCGTCTGTCTGTCTGTCCGTCCGGTTGAACGCTGAGATCTCGGAAACTATAAGAGCTAGGCTATTGAGATTTGGCATGCAGATTCCTGAGCTTCTTACGCAGCGCAAGTTTATTTCAGCAATGTGATACGCCCACTCTAACGCCCACAAACCGCCCAAAATTGTGGCTCCTTCAGTTTTGATGCTAGAATCCACATTTTAGTTGAAATGTATTGCTCTCATCAGTACCTATCGATTGAAAAAGCTTGCCACGCCCACAAACTTCAAGTAAATATGAACGCGAATATCTCGGAAACTATCAAAGACATAGAATTGGGATTTCAGACTTA